TCTTTCGCCCGCAAAATTTATTTTTTTTTGTGAGGCTCAGTTTCTTCACTGAAGGCCATAAATAAGATCATGTTACGCATGCTTTAAATTCATCCACTTGCATTTCCCGCTCACTACACTGACGAAGACTGTCGCAAATCGTCTGCTAGGAATACAGTAACTCCTCCAAGAGTGTGTATACACTTCCGACCGATGCGACTACTAAGGCGATATTATGCTTGCTGCTGACTTTAGCTAACAATAAAAAAAAAGAAATCCAAACCCTACTTCGATGCTCGTTTCGTAATTTGTTAGAGAGCTTTCACTACATGACAACACTTTTGCTAAGGAATTAATAACTCAACTGTCCCCTATGGTATTTAGTGTCGTATAATTTAGTCCCATGCTCAGTTTCTGAAAGAAAAAGTGTTACCTGTATCAATTCAGGATATGTTTTTCTTATGTACCAAATTTTATAAAAATCACACGATTTTAAAATTTATTCGATTTTCTCCGAATATATCGGTAGCAGATGTACTGTACGGAAAATCCGTTCTTATCGAACAAGTCTTTATATATATAGATATAAATATATGTTATTTAGAAATCCACATTTTTATATATTCAAATAAAATAGTTTTGAAATAAAGAAGCTAAATTAGTTAAAAAGATCTTAAATGAAAAAAACTAAAAAAAATTAAATATTAATAAAAAAATATATGTAAGCAAATTACATTTCAAGAAGCGATGTTTTTTTTTATTAATTTTTGAGAAATTATTTTCAAAACATGCAAGTTCCTTATACAAGTTTATCCTTTTACAAAGGCCAAAACGACGAAAAACTCTACATTAAAATGATTACAAAAAAGTACAGCAGTCCGCGGTTATGCCCGAAGTTTTTATGCCTTTCTTGACCATTTTAAAATTATGACATTTCATTTTTGTTATTAAATATTAATTTTCAAATCTAAATAAATCGGTCGTATGAGGGCTATATGCTATAGTTCTCCGATTTCCAGTGAAAATGTTGTATATACGTGTGTAGGAGGAAATATTTCATGCTATTAGATGCTTTTTGCGAGATTTTCGACTATAAATGAAAAAAAAACTCCCATCTGAGTAAATCAATCTAACGTTACAGTCGTCCTTATATTTCCTTCAATTGTTGTTCTCTACTATATATAAATTTCAAACCTACGTCACCAATAGGTAACGCCATACTAATAACGCTGCAGTCCTTTTGGGGGAATGTTGCGGAAGTGACAGCCTGTGGCCGGATAAAAATCCTGGTCGTTCTGGTATAAAGACCCGACTGTCGCTGAAACTATTGGATTTTAGTTGCCTCTGACAACAGGCATGCTTCATCGCGTGAAAATATTTTAACCCATACCACAGGTGTCATTTCCTTGCATGCTCGTATGCCCTCGTTTGCATATATGAACTTCTCATTTCTCAGCCGGTCTTTTAATCGCTCCTGTTGCTACCGACTTCGTGCTTTAATCGACGCTTGAATATTCACATAAATACCCACACATAATGCACCCTGTACCCTTCGTCCATGAAGGCCTGCTTCCTGTAGTGGCTCGGTCGTTATTTTTGTTGCAAATATTTTGGCTTAAAAGATACTGTTACTGTAATGGTTTGGCCGCTTATAACCTTCTGCTCTTGGTTTGAACGCAGTAAACTGCAGCCTCGATTCCACCATTCATTCTAGAGTCTTCTGTAAAAAAATATGTGTGGACCTTTATCTGTAAACCTTAATCCGGCACGCCGTCCATTGTAGCTTTGTAAAGCGGTCTATTCCTGATATGTCTGATTTTCAACTGATTTGAACCGTGGCAGTTTACAAAAAATATACATTTTTAAATAAACCTTTCAAAAATACATTAAAAATATCCTAACCTCAAAATTCTGCTTTACCCATACTCGAATCGAAAGGACGGACTCAGTCGTCCCTAATTATGTTATGGTAAGAAATAACGTGTCATTTGGAACGAAATTACTACGGAAACTTTAAATGCGTTCTCTCCTTAAAGCTGGCAATATCGATTACTTAGAGATATATTAATATTTTTAGATATTTTTCAGAAATATTGAAGAGCGGAATAAGATTTGAAAATAGTACCAATTATTATTATTTTCAAACAATTTGGCGCGGAAATTTCAATCGAAAACGATTTTATTTCTCAAAATATTTTGCCCATTGCAGCAAAAATGAAAAAAATATATTGTTGCTTCGTTCAATGCCTTGACCAATCATTTGTTGTAAGAAAGCCACCGTAATTTGCAAACCTATTTAAACTGAGATCACCGGCAAGTCTCTTTTCTTTGAATTTCAGGGCATCAATATATACAATTAAGGACCAGAATTTTCCATCCACGTGTTAAAAAAGCAAATCCGGTAGATGGCACACGTGTCGAAATTTATTTAAAGTCTTTATTTATGTTGGAACGACTAAGTTGGAAGCCTCAAAACGAAAAAAAGAACTCAAAAAAAAAAGAATTAATTTCAAAAAAAAAAAAACGTATTTAATAATGCCGCGTTCATCTTATATAGTGACAACTTATATGAAAAACATATGTACATAATATTTATGTACATATGTCATAAACTAACACAATTTCATGCTCTTAATTGCTCTCACAGATTTTCTGACAGTTTATTATTATTTTTTCTTATTTTCGCTGCAATTTTCGTTTTATGTATTTTTTTATTGCACATATTCGTTGCGGTACTTTAAGACAATTCCAAGTACTTGGTGCAATTGACTTTCATTTTTTTTGCACTTTTTTACGTGCACACTTCCGCACAGTTATGTATGTACAAATGTGTGTATAAAAGAGTGCATGTGTTTCAGTTTTTTTCTCCGTGTGTTTGTGTGTGCGCCTGTTTGGCCAATATGTGTACAGTTATGAACGCTTGAAAGTAATTGTTTGCATTTGCGAGACACCATGCTTGCCAGCATTCTTTTACGAGTATGTGTGTGTGCATGCGTGGAGTGTGCTCCTCGCTGCAGTCTCACTCTTGCCACTTCCACTTTACATATCTCTCACCATCACTTTGTTTCATTGCGCTCGCTGCTTGTTTTTGTCACCATTTGAACCGCAATTACTTTTGCTCCAGTAAATTTTTGAGTTGTGCAAAATCCAACGACTTCATTTAACTTCATCATCCTTGGAACCTTGGCACGACAAAAAATGCTCGTTTCTTTTGACTTTTTTTTTTTTAATGGAGTCATTGCTTTGAACATGAAATGCATGCAATGCGCACGAATACCGTTATGGAAAGAGTAGAAATTTTGCTTTTTTTGCTCTCCGCGCTCACAAAGCTGTCATGTTTTGGCGACAGAGCGTTCATAAAATTGCAATCTTTGTGCTTCTTTTTTTTAGTTTTTTCCTTTAATCTTCGTTTGTTATTACTGAATTTATTTGATTTTTTTTTATTTTTTGTTTTAACTGTTTAACTTGTTTTCAGCTTCAAATTAAGGTTAGTTTTAATTTGTTGGCAATTTGTATGAAATTTCGACATTTTTTGCTAAATTTTAGTCCTTTATGTTTAGAGGGTTTCAGTGGTTTGGTTTTACAGAATATTTTTCATGGCATTTTATGACGAGGAGTTTTGGGGAAGACGTTATGGCAATTTTAATAAATTAACACCAGAATGTGAAATAATAGAATATAAAGAAATAAAAAAATAAGAAAAACCAATTAAAAACAATAGAATGTTAATGGAGTAGAAGAGAAAAACGAAACAATTAAAAAAATTAAACATAACAGTATAAAACATAATTCAACGAAATGAAATAAGTAAAAAAAAAAACAAAGAAGAAAATAAAATAAATTAAAAAAAAACCAAAAATAAAATAAAATAGAAAATTAAAATAACTAAAAAATAATAACATAAATTAGAATAGAAAAAAATAAAGATATAGGGTTAACCGTTGCGTAGTTTCAAATATATAGCATTGTGCTTTGACATCTGTCAAGCCAAACATTTTCCGCTTTACTTAAAAGTCAGGCTGCCAATGTGTTGCCGAAAGGGCGATTTCTTGACGTTCTCAAGAGCTGGAACCTTTTTGCTGCATATTATGGCAAATTTTAGAATTTGGACTTACAGCTACATCTATATAATTTCCAGCTCACACTGAAGCTAGCTGGATATTTTCAACGCCGTACATACGTCGATTGGTTGCTTAAGAAACAAGTAGGGGACAGCGATTTTTCGAAAAAAAAAATTTTTTTTCAGTGAAGGATGGAAATTATCACATTTAGGGCTCCTCGTTATCGTTATCCGGTGGTGTAATTGGAACTGACTTGTTTAAAATGATCACGACAAGACTATCACTGGCGATTCGGTGCCTTATGGTCATTTAATAACCGACTTTTTTTGCCTACAATTGGAGCACACGACTAGGACAATACGAGGCTTCAATAAAGTGGCGCTACACGCCACCGACGTGGAGATGTCTATGGCCCACCGAGATCATGCGATTTGACACCGTTGAACTGTGTTTTTTTTGGGGGCTATGCGGTTAAGCCCTTAACTCTTGAGTACGAGACAATCAACATTCGCCAATTTATGCCTGATATACCGCTCAATGTATGCCGAAAAGTGGTCGAAAATTACTTTAAACGGATCGAAGTTCGCAGAAATTCGTTGAATTTATTATGTTAGCATATAAAAAGTTTAGCCATCGGTCAAGCTATGACAAAAACGGCGGATTATAAAACTCTCTAATTTCTACAGTTTCGTCTCGATTGACTTGAAACTTGGGGAAAATATTCCCGACACTTTGTACTTTTATACAAAAAATATCACGAAATGAAATTTTTGAAGTTTCAATACCTATGCAACCCCTTAATGCCAATATCCAAAATTTATAATAAAAAAGAACTTTTATGTAGAAAAAAAAGTATTTTATATGCATATTATTTACGGTTACACTCAAAATGAATGACCTTGTATTTTTTATAATTTCTATAATATTTTTTATAATTAAAGAATTCTTCTTCCTCTATAGGTTTTCTAGGCAACTTCCTTTCCAAAGGCCTGAAGACCAATCAATTGGAGGTGAATACCGATGAGAAGACGTTGCGGCCCATAGCACGTTTAAAAGAACCACGTGATCTTTTCGCACTGCCGAAAGACAAGGATCATGATTGCTCACAGCAGGCCCCCAGATGGCCGATTGAGTGTCAGGTGAGTGATTGAGCTAAGCTATATGAACGAATATATGGCACAAGGATTTTATATTAATAAACACGTTTTAATATACACAGACAAATGTACATACGCATATATATATATATATATATATATATATATATATATATGCCTGCTAAGTGTTAAATGATTTTAAAAATCCAATATGGAAAAACTAATGTCGTGTTACTTATTTTCGGCATCAAAGGAAATAAAAGTTACTAAACGGAAAGGTGTTGGCTACATACATACATATGTACGCATATATAAACTGGCGACATAGTTTTCCAATTTTACTGTCCAACCACAAGCCGCACATATGCACACGCTTGTACATAAATCTGGCAACAAACAATGGGCGGGTAGCGGGCAAATTCAATTTATTTATGTCAAAAATCAATATGCGTAACGCATCTCTACGCTCCTTTGCTTGTGAGCAAGCAAAGCTAGGATGGTTGGTGTTGGAAAGGAGAAATTGTGCGAGAAGGAAGTTCTTTTATGTGCTGGATGAGAGCTATAAATACCCAGCAGACTAAACTAGAGAAAACGTTAAGGTAGAATAAAAATTAACTAAACTAAAATCAATTAAATAAATTTTGTGAAATTAAAGAAAATCAGATGGTATAATGAAATGCGGCACAATAAAGTGAAAGAAATTACACTAAAAAATGAAATATAAAAACAAGACAAATTAAAACGAAATAAAAAAAATTAAAAAATAACAATGGTAAATAAATCAAAGTTAAAGAATCCAAATTACACAGTATTAAAAAAATAAAACAAAATAAAAAAATATAAAAGAAAACGATCAAACTGAAATAATCAAAATAATAAAATAAAATAATAAATAAATGAAAACGAACCCGTATAATGCCAAATCCACTGAAATAAAAGTTGTAATAAATAAAAAATTATAAAATAAGATTAAAAATTAATTATATAAAATATAAATCAGTTATAAGAAAGAAAAACTTAAAAATAAAATCTGAAAAATTAAAAGAGACAAAGTATTAAATAAAATAAAAAGATTAAAATAAGATGAAATTAATAAAATGAAACAAAATAAAATAATATGAATAAAGTATAAAATAATATCAAAAAAAAAAAATATATATTATATAAAATACATTCGAGTAAGCGAAGTGAAATAAATTAAAAATTAAATAAAATAAAAAGAATAAATTAACAAAAACCAAATAAAAACCATTAAGACAAGATAAAATTAATAAAGCACAAAATAAAAATAATAAGCGAAGTGAAATAAACTAAAAATTAAATAAAATAAAATTTATAAATTAACCAAAATATAACAAAAAACAATGAAAATAAGATAAAATTAATAAAACGCAAAATAAAAATAATAATATATGAAAATGAAGCAAAATAACTTCAATCTAATAAAATAAAAACAATAAAAAGTATAAAATAACATTAAAAAATAATAAAAAATACAATCTAGTAAGCGAAGTGAAATAAATTAAAAAAAAAAATAAAGTAAAAATAATAAATTATTAAAAAATTAAAAAATTAATTAAACTACAATAAAATAAAATACTCAAATGAAAATGAAGCAAAAAAACTTGTAATCTAATAAAATAAAAATAATAATATGTATAAAATAACATTAAAAAAAAAACAATATAAAATACAAACTAGTAAGCGATGTGAAATAAATTAAAAAAGTAAATAAAATAAAATAATTTAAATAATACAAAATGACATAAAATCATTTAAAATAAAAATAACAAAGAAATAAAAAAAAATAAATAAGATTAATAAACATATAAAATAAAATACAACACAGAATTGTAAAGTAAAATAAATTAAATTAAAAATAAAAGCAAAGAAAATAGGTTCAAATGAATGAAAAAACATAAAACAGAATCAAAAAATAATTTAAGTTAAAATAAATGCATTAAAAGAATAACAGATTAAAAAAACAAAGTTAAACCAAATTAAGTAAAGTAAAGTACAATAGTATAAAATAAAATGAAAAAAAAAAACGAGAAAGGAAAATAGCATAAAGAAAAAATATTTGAATTCGCAAAATGAATTAGATTTTGTTAAGCTTCACGGCTCCCAATCTCTCCCAATGTAGGCGCTCTCAGAACTAAATAGTGTTCCACAAGTTCAGTTTTTGCCTACTGGGCCATCTACCACTGTTACTTACGTATGTAACTGTATATGTGCGTAAAGATTCTTGTAGAACGACAAACTCATAAATTTCAATCTGACGCATGTACAAGTGCGTGTGTGTGTGTGTGTCTAACTGTACCACATATACTCCTCAACTTTAACAGGGGCTTTGGCCCTATACGCTCATTTGTATTTGCTTTTAACATAAGTGTGTTTTTCTTTCTTTTTCTCATATCCAAGTGGGTGGGTGAGGGTTGCGGATTTAAAAATTGAATTCCTTTTCAGCTGTTTACGCTGTAGAGCTAACACTCGCTCGGTGGCGAATGGTTTCGTTTTAATGTACCCCACACAAATTGGAACATATGGAGGCTGTCGTTCATTCAAGAATCTGATGCATACGTATGTTTGTATATAGTACATACACACTCAAAAGGAGGCTGCTAAGGCGAATAGAGACAGACGCAACAGCAGCGTGCTCTAAGCCACCAACGCAGTACTTGAAGAATTCCCTCGTTGGGCGCTTTCGCTGTTTTGATTCTTTTGCGTTCGCATAATGATTGATGATCTCTATAACATTCAATGTGCTTTGATGGTGATTTTTATTTGTTTAACGTTTGTTCCACGAGCAGATCAACTCTTTTCCGATGCAATACATTCAAGGATTTTTATAATATTTACAAGCACAGCACATGCATATAATATGTACGAGCGAATTAAGTAGGTCACTGTTGGTTACTTTAATTTTCACTCGGCGGTTTAGCGTCAAGCCGAAGTGGTTGAAAGGAGTTGTCCTCGATAAATTTATTTACATTGTGGGAAGACTTAAAGGCTCTGCGGAGTGAAAATATGTACATTTGTTGATATTTCTTGGCAATTTCAATTCAATTTATGCTGATGCCAGATATATTTTATGTCTGAAATCAATATGACTGATGTGTGATGGGCGATGTTTTATGGCTTATGACAAGGATAATGGTGTCGAAATTGTTGTTTAGTCCTGCACATTCATATTTGTATTCCAACCACTTGAGTTATTACTTTTATTTGCATATTCGTTTATTGAAAAGAGTGACAGCTCAGCGAAAAGGGAAAAAATCATTTGTCTCAAAGAAAGAAAAGGTTCCCCGAAATGCTTTGTTGGTGTGTGCTGCTGTTTATGTCCTGCCATAAATTTATGTTTCCATTTAGGAGTCCTTACTCGTATTTTTGTAAGTGAAATTAAATGAAATATATGTATGTATGTGAGAAAAAATAAGTAATAAAAGGGGTGAAGGATAACCATATAAATATGAGCAAAAATAATAAAAATTATTTAAAAAAAAATATAAATCACAAGGACAGGGTTATGAATAAGAAAAATGTTAGGGAAAAGATCAAAAAATAACAGAGTACAAGAACTTAAGATCAAGGCCGAAGAAAAGGTCAGAATAAAAAATAAAAATATGCAGGCAAATTATAAACACATTTTGTACAAATTCAAGATATAAATACAGAAAAATAGTTAGTAAAGTATTTATATATAGAAGGATAACAAACAAAATATATATACAATATATTAAGGAGAAGAATGAAGTAGATTGAGACCAAGCCTAAGTCAAATGCTCAGGATAAGGAAAAGAATGCCAGTAAGACTGAAAATCGAATTAACATCAAGGATAAAAAATGAGTTGTGTCCATAGATTATCCTTTATAAGGAAACAAATGATATGAAACTAAGAGGAAGAGTTATCTTCGTATATGCCGAAGTCTTTGTACCTTTCATGGTCATGTCGAACTTATGGTATTTCATTTTTGTTTTGACGTAAAACCTCTCAACTGAAAAAAACTGTTATCTGTATCAGTCTGCACCTCGACTGGTCTCCCGCTCCGCTCCTCGTCTTCCATTATTTTTCCAATAGGCGGCGTCATTTATCTGTATCTCGCATTGTATAAGTCCGATCGGGCTCCGCTAGATGACGTTAGACAGATGACATTTCATACTAAACAAGTTTCTCTGACTGTTTCGTGATTGGTTGATTCAGTTTTGTTTGAATGCTTGTCATGAACCGAATTTCCATCTGCAAATCGCTGTTGAATCGCAACCAAAATGGACCCATTTCTAAAGCGGTTGGTAACTGGCGATGAAAAGTGTGTCACCTACGACAACGTCAAGTGGAAACTGTCGTTGTCGAGACACGGTGAGCTGGCAGAAATGGTGGCCAAGCCGCATTGACGGCCAGGAAGGTTTTACTGTGTGTTTGGTGGGATTGGCAGGGAATTATTTACTATGAGCTGCTCCCATACAGCAATCGCCCAGAACTGGACATTTTTGGCCAATAGTAGAGGAATTGTGTTCCATTAGGACAACGCCAGGCCACACACATCGATGGTGACTCGCCAAAAGCTGCGGAAGCGTGATTGGGAGCTTCTTTATGCTTTATACTATACTTTATAGTCCACACCCGGCATAAAAGGATCAGCATCTTTTCCTGTCCATGGCGAACAATTTTGCTGGTGAAAGATTCGCTTCAAGAGAGGCTTGTGAAAACCGACTGTCTCAATTTTTTGTCAGTGGGAACGAGGGCTTCTATGAGAGAAGCATAATGAAATTACTTTTAAAATGACAACAAGTGTTCGAAAAAAACGGCGTGTATTTGACCTCAATCAGATCATCTTAACTATGGTAGTTAAAGCCTTCAAACTCATGCAAACATAATGGATTTCTTTTTACTACACCAACATAACATTTCATATGCATGTAAGGTATAAAATAATACGAAATAAATAACAAATTTGTTGTTGTTTAAAGCCATCTCTGGAAAAGAGAATATTTTAGTTCTGTAAAGTTGAAAAAAATGCCACGACTTAAAAATATATTTATT